TCCCTAGAAATGCAAAACTGGATGTTAAATGATAATAAATTATTATATAAAAAAAGAGGAATTAGCATTGCAAGGTTCCCTTTGTCTCTTTACTACAAATTGAAAGGACAACAGAGTGCTAGGATGCAGAAGGCGTTACTCTAGAGGCTCCAACTTGTCCAGTCTGACCACCCACTCAAAAGATAGCAAACCTATCTGATGGTGAGAGGGTTGCAAAGACAGCAAGCAGAATTTCAGCCCATCTGCAGGTTCTGACGTGAGCTTGAGATGGATGAAGACCTGAGGCAGGAGGCAAGACGTGTGCATGCGTTAGCAACCCTGGTCTTGGGGTTGTCTAGTTGATTGTCTCCTTACAAAGCCAGTAAGGTGGCTGGAAGTCCTCACTGTTTAAGGGGACAGTCTCATTCCTGGGAGGCCACTGCTTATGTTGGGGGCGGTATATTTGTGAGACTGTGCCAGTCTTAGCAGTGGAGATGATTGTAGGTCTAAAACAAAGACTAGAAACTTTTGGGTGCCTTTCTGAAGTTTGGAACAGGACATTGAAAAAATGGACAGTAAGAAGCTAACCAGATAGCTGTCACTAGGTTTTTTGTTTTTGTTTTGTTTCATTGCAGTTTCTGCTTTGTTTGCTTGTTTGATTTTGAAAGAGGGTCTCACTGTGTAGTCCTGACATAACTGGATTCACTATGTAGACTAGGCTGGACTTGAATTTACAGAACGGCAACTGCCCCTGCCTTTAGAGTCTGGGACTAAAGCAAGTGCTACCGTCCTTGACTGCTTCTTGTTTTTGACACAAAGTCTTGGTCTGTAGCCCAGACTGGCCTCTAACTCACGATCAGAGTGCTTCACCACACCCAGCTCTCTACTTTGTGGCTTAAGATTTGTTAGGTTGATTGGCCTAAATCAATAGCTCATTTTAATTCTTATTTGATTCTAAGTGAGGCTCAATGTTTTTTTCTTCTAAATGTTCCAGTTGATCTGTACGTTCCCTTACAGGAAGGCATGTCCTTTTCCTTTGTTTCTTACAACACTTGAACAGGTCAAGGAACCTTGGTGACTGACCACACAGGGATCTTGAGCTGATGATCATATATGATAGGAGGGACAACTTATAGCCTCTTCTAAAGTTTTATTTATTTGTGAGAAGGGGGCTCACGCTCACACATGACATAGTTTGCTTGTGGAGGTTAGAGGACAACATAAGGGAACTGATTCTCTCCTTCCCCACTGTGGATCCCAGGGATTAAACTCCCAGGGATGTCAGATCTGGTGGTAAGCATCTTCACCCATGGAACCATCACTGGACCTTATTTTTATCCTCGTGGATGTGTCACTTTGGAAGTAGCTCTGATAACTTAGAAAAACTGTCATTGGAGGTAATAAGGTAATAATACAGTAGTGGAACATTTTTTTTTCAAGACAGGGTTTTGCTGTAGTGTTGGAGCCTGTCCTGGAACTAGCTCTTGTAGACCAGGCTGGCCTCAAACTCACACAGAGATCCGCCTGCCTCTTCCACCACGATTGCTGGGATTAAAGGCGTATGCCACCACCGCCCGGCAGTAGTGGGACATTTGTTTAGCACGTAGGAAGCCTAGATTCAGTTTTTAATAACACACACGCATGCACACAGGCAGTGTGGTGGGGATCTCAGCAGTCAAGAGCACTTGCCGTGAAATCGCGAGGAATAGTTTAGATTCCAGTACTCACACGACAAGCAAGCTCGCATTCCTCACACAGGTGTGGAGTTCTAACTCCGAGGATCCAATGTCTCCTCTGGCCATGCTCCCCTGCCTCAAATCGTTATTTTATAAAAAGAAAAGAAAGAAGAAAAAAAAAAAAAACCTCCATGGTTTCAGACTTAGCAAAACTATGTAAAATAGTCTCAGGAAGTGGTAGGGGGCATCTGTCTGTTTCTAAGAGTCATCTCAGGACCAATCATATTGTGAGCTGAACAACTAGACTTTTCAGCCTCTGTCAGCTGAGGAAAGCTGGGGGTGGGAGAGGTGGTTTTTCCCAGGGAAGAGCACACCAACTGATTGTCCAGCGCTAAAAGGTCAGTCCTGAAAACATACATACAGGTAACATTTTTCAGACTGAGCAGATTATATTTAGGAATATATATGTATATACAGATAAATGCATATGTATGTAATAAATTAGTGAGAAAAGAGGCCATGGCTGGGCGCTGGTGGCACACACATTTAATCCCAGCACTTGGGAGGCAGAGGCAGGTGGATCTCTGTGAGTTCGAGGCCAGCCTGGTCTACAAGAGCTAGCTAGTTTTCCAGGACTGCTACACAGAGAAACCCTGTCTTGGAAAAAAAAAAACCCACAAAAAAAAGAAGCAAAGCATGCTTCTCTGTTCTCTTATGCCCATTTCCTTAATCAGAACTTTTAGTATGGGCCTGAAAGAGACTCCTCAGTATCCTGAAGGGACAAAGTACAAATTCTGATTTAGAACCTCCAGAAAGGGCTCCACCTGGTGATGCAAGCCTATCATTCCAGCTACTCCCCAGGCTAAACTCCAAGTTTGGCCTGGATAACTTAAGGTAAGACTCATTAAAAGAGGAGGCAGGAGGGCAGATGTGAAGAAGTGACTCTGTGGGTAGTGTTTGCCTACTATGTGGGAGGCTCTAAATCCGGTAGTACCAGCCAACCAAAACACAAGCCACAGTAAAACAAGGCCTTTAGCACACACCTTTTTTTTTTTTTTTAAAAAAAAGTATGTATTTATTTATTATGTATACAATATTCTATCTATGTGTATGCCTGCAGGTCAGAAGAGGGCACCAGACTCCATTACAGATGGTTGTGAGCCAGCATGTGGTTGCTGGGAATTGAACTCAGGACCTTTGAAAGAGCAGGCAATGCTCTTAACCTCTGAGCCATCTCTCCAGCACCTTAGCACACACCTTTAATCCAAATCTTGGGAGAGAGAATCCGGTGGATCTTTGTAAATTGGAGGCCAGCCTAGTCTACAAAGCTGGTTCTAGACCAGCTAGTGCTACGTAGTGAGATTCTGCCTTAAAAAAAAAAAAAAAAAAAAAAGCCGGATGGTGGTGGCTCACGCCTTTAATCCCAGCACTCTGTGAGTTCGAGGCCAGCCTGGGCTACTAGAGCTAATTCCAGGACAGGCTTTAAAGCCACAGAGAAACTCTGTCTCAAAAAACTAAAAAACAAAACAAAACAAAAAAACTCAACCAAAACTAAAATTAAAACAAAAAACTTCCAAACAACTGTCTTCTCAAAGGCCTGAGGCTGAGGTTCTGTCGTTCACAGAACATGACAGAAACACTTCTACTTTAGGCATGACTTTGGGTTCAGCCTTCCCACTCAGGTAGGCCACTGTGTCTTTCTTTCCGAAGACCCCATTTTCAGACCTTTGGGCTGTCTCTTATTTCACTTTGACTTTAAGTAAGGATTCTACTGGCTCACATATTTAGGAATGCTCCATTAAAACAATATTGATTGATTGTTTTTTTGAGACAGGGTTTCTCTGTGTAACAGCTCTGGCTGTCCTGGAACTAGCTCTTATAGATCAGGCTGGCCTTGAACTCACAGAGATCCTCCGGCCTCTGCCTCCTGAGCGCTGGGATTAAAGGATCACCGCCCGGCATTAAAGCAATTTATAAGGGGAGGGTGAAGATCGGCCTCTTCAGCTGTTAGGACCAGAAGGCATCGAGGGTACATCTGTTGCTCTGGTCCTCTGCCTTTCCCAAGCTATCAACAAGTAAGTGGCAGCTGCCATTCTTCGTCACTTAATAGGCCAATGTAATTGTGAATTCAGAGTAGTGGTTAGTAACAGTTTAGATAAGAAGTTTTAGAAGGCCCATTCTAACTGTGAGAAAGGATGGCTAGGAGTTAAGTGTAATTTGGCAAAAGGGAGATAGAGAGACTTGGAATCTGGCATGGGCTAACAGATGGGCGGGAAGGTATTTAGGAGGTGGGAATGACAGGATTAAAGTTTGTGATGAGTAAGGGGGCATCAAATTAACCCTAGTGCCGGCGGGTCTTTTTTTTAAAGGTTCATTTATTTTATGTAGACAGAGTTCCGCTTGCGTATCTACACCAGGAGAGGGCGCTAGATCTCACTATAGATAGATGTGAGCCACCATGTAGTTGCCGAGAATTGAACTCAGGACCTCTGAAAGAGCAGACACTGCTCTTAACCTCTGAGTCCTCTCTCCAGCCCACCAGCGGGATCTCTATTGGGTTGGGAAGAAGAGCAGGTTTTGAAAATAAGGTCAGGGCAAGTAGAACGGGCCCTCAAGGCAGGTTGATAATAATGGCGCGGCTCTTAGAGGGGCCTGGAGGGAACGGAACAAAACTGGGGAGTAACCTATGCAAGAATGAACACTAAGGTCTTTTGGTTCTGGACTCTCAGGGCGTGGCGAGAAGGCAAGCTGGGGGGCATAAGTCCCACGTGACGGCCTGGTGGCGCACAGGCTGCTCAAATGCTACGCTAACCCCCAGGGGATAGAGTGCTGGCGGCCCCTCCCGGCCCCGCCTCCCTTTCTTCCTCTTTCCTGTTCATCAATTGGGTAATATCTATGTCCATCAAGGGCCCGCCTCCGAAATTAAGCCAATCAGGAATGGCGGGAGGGAGCTTTCTTCAGGAGCTGGTTTCTCTTCTAGGGGCCTCTCCAGGGAAGTAAAACCCGGTCGCAGCCACCGAGGAACTGCGCGCAACCTCTGAGCTGAGAGCATCCGCCGAGTGCGGGCGGCGCAAGCTGGTGAGAAGAGGGCGAGGATACGAGGTAAGGAAGGGGACTAGTAGATGTGCGGACATCTTCCCCTGCCTGGCCTGCGGGCGCCTCAGGTGATGGGGCGGTGAGGGAGATGAGGTGAGAGGGCGGGACGAGCTGATCCCCGGTCGTGGTCACCCCACTCGCGCGCAAGCGCCACGTGGGCCCGCGCGCTAGTGGAGGAGTCGGCTGCTTAGCCGGTTCCCTGCATCAGCTTCCTTAGTACTGGAGCACCCGTGAGGTGGGCGTTGCAAACTAGATTCCTGTCTTACAGCTTAGAAAGCGGAGGGTCAGAACTCTAAGCTGGAGTCCGGAGTTCTTAACTAGAACCTAGCGCCCAGCTAAGAAATCAAGAGACTTCGTTTCTGTAAGGACACTAAATTCTGTCCCATCTGCTGCGAACGGTTTTCTTTGCGCACAGCTGCCTGTCCTTTCTGCAGGGTCAAGGGGCGTCCGAGGCCATCTGCCTCTGACCGACTTCATCTGCCCCAAGTTCAGCCGGGTGGGTAAGGGACGATCCTCACTGGCTTTGGGAAATCAATTTAACAGTGCGTCTATACTCTTTGACCTACTGATTTTGGAAGTAAGTAAGAAAAAGGCGACTACAAAGGCCATGCAATTTGGTCTTTAATAAGTACCAGGTTAGTAGAAACAAACTCCAAATCTCCAGGAATTGTGAAACCATTGTCTTTCACACGGACGTCAGATTCAGTGTAGTTGACTGAACGATATAAAAGCCGTACAGAATGTACCCTGATGGTAAACTGTGCTTTTTTTTTTTTTTTTTTTTTTTTTTTTTTTTTTTTTTTTGATTTTCGAGACAGGGTTTTGCATCGGCTATGGTGTATGAGATGGTCTCTGGGGGCGACTCCTTCTCGGTGTTTGGACGCCAGAGTCCAACACTAGCAAGTGCCAGCGAGACTAGTGAAACTGTGTCTGTTAAGTAGCTGGTGTCCCTGGGCCTCTGAAAATGCCAAGTTGAGCTAATATTTGAGGACCTGCTGTGTACCAGGTACAGGGCTGTCTGTACTCACGATAGCCACCAGTAAGCAGCTACCTGTCTGGCATTTTGTGGAGTACAGAGATTGCTGGGGACAGCAGATACCTAAGTCAAAACTTACACGCTGCAGTGGAGACTGGATGAGGGAGCTAGCTAGTAGCCTCTGGCCTGAGAAAGGGCTCAGAAAGGAGAGGAAAGGAGGCACGAATCAGCTGGGAGGCCCTCATTGACTATAAAACCAGAGAGAATCTTAGCAAAAGAAGTTTTCACAGTATTTTAAACATTTGAACTTTGAAGCTTTTATAAACCCTTTAATTTTTCAGGCTGAAAACCAACCACCTCCACTTGCCAGCATAGCTTCAGAATGTCAAGTACCGTGTCCCATTGGATCTTCAATTCTGCACGGAATCGAATTGCTATCTTACAAGGGGGTAGACGCTTCTACTCAAGGGGTGCCGCAAATAGAAATCAACCGAAATGGAGGCTTTCTTCTCCGGCATCGCCGACTGTGAAGACCAGTACTCCGCGTGGTAGCTTTGCTCTGCAGAAAGCCTACAGACACACATCAACCGAGGAAGAGGATTTCCACTTACAGCTTAGCCCTGAACAGGTCAACGACATGCTTCGAGCTGGCGAGTCATCTCACAAGATTCTTGACTTCAACAATGGAGTTCCAAGTTCAGTGTTACGGTTTGAGAGCAACCAGCTGGCCGCCAATTCCCCAGTGGAGGACCGGCAGGGTGTAGCTTCCTGTATGCAGACCAACGGACTGATGTTTGGCATTTTTGACGGCCATGGTGGCCATGCATGTGCCCAAGCGGTGAGCGAGAGGCTCTTCTACTACATGGCAGTGTCCTTGATGTCCCACCAAACCTTGGAGCAGATGGAGGAAGCAATGGAAACCATGAAGCCTTTGCTGCCCATCCTCCAGTGGCTCAAGCATCCTGGGGATAGTATTTATAAGGATGTCACGTCCGTACACCTGGACCACCTTCGAGTCTATTGGCAGGAACTTCTTGACTTGCATATGGAAATGGGGTTGAGCATTGAAGAAGCATTAATGTACTCCTTCCAGAGACTGGATTCGGACATCTCACTAGAAATCCAGGCCCCCCTGGAAGATGAGGTGACAAAGAACCTATCCCTCCAGGTTGCTTTTTCTGGGGCAACAGCTTGCATGGCCCATGTCAACGGAGTTCACCTACATGTAGCAAATGCTGGCGACTGCCGGGCTATCCTTGGTGTCCAGGAAGACAATGGTGTGTGGTCCTGTTTGCCTCTTACCCGGGACCACAATGCTTGGAATGAGGCTGAGCTATCCCGGCTTAAGAGAGAACACCCCGAGTCTGAGAACAGGACACTCATCATAGATGATAGGCTGCTGGGCGTCCTCATTCCCTGCAGGGCCTTTGGGGATGTCCAGCTCAAGTGGAGTAGAGAGCTGCAGCGCAGTGTGCTAGGGAGGGGCTTCGATACTGAGGCCCTCAACATCTACCAGTTCACACCGCCCCACTACTACACTCCGCCCTATCTGACAGCCAAGCCGGAGGTTACGTACCACAGGCTGAGGCCCCAAGATAAGTTCCTCGTGCTGGCCTCAGACGGTCTGTGGGACATGCTGGGCAATGAGGATGTGGTGAGGCTGGTGGTGGGCCACCTGTCCAAGGTTGCTTGCCATAAGCCGGACCTGGACCAAAGACCGGCCAACCTGGGGCTCATGCAGAGTCTGCTGCTGCAGCGGAAAGCCAGCGGACTCCATGCAGCTGACCAAAATGCAGCCACGCATCTGATCAGACACGCCATTGGGAGCAACGAGTATGGGGAGATGGAGCCAGAGCGACTGGCCGCCATGCTGACATTACCAGAAGATGTAGCCAGGATGTATCGGGATGATATCACTGTCATGGTGGTGTTTTTTAACTCAGAGTCAATTAATACATACTCTAAGGAGGGTTAAGGGTCTAACCCTGTTGCCAAGGCTAACACAAATAACTTGAAAACATTTTCACTTAGTCCTGAGTGAGCCATTCAAACCTTATTAAGGAATAGGCAGATATAGGTTGCTGAGTGATTGACTAACTAAAGAAATCCAGCCTAGTGAAAAAGCACTGGTGATGATTTTTGTGTCTATGCGCACTGGTCAACTCTTCTATGCAGCAGACAGAATAGAGTCAAACCGGCTTAGGCTCATGTAGCCCGTGTCCTCTATAACGACACTGTCAAACTGTGTCATCCTGTGCTTCTAAAGGATAAATTTAAATCATGATGCTAAGAATAAAGAACTTCAGGATCTTCGGAGACCCAGTTGCAAAATTTACAAATATGATCCTTCTGAGCTGTTCTGCACAACTTCTAGGCTGTAGTTTTTGTTTAGCTTTTTAAATTACAAAAGCCTAGGTTTACAAAGCAATCTTCAGGGCACTTTTCTATGTTGTATTCTAACTTTCTGTGTGTGTGTGTGTGTGTGTGTGTGTGTGTGTAATTTTCTGTAACGGCTGTGAAGATAAATCTGTGCCATTTGCATTTGAACGCTGGCTAAATTTATTTTAAAACTGAATCCTCAGACTTGCAGGCAGGACTGCTGTAAGCATGTGTAGGACCACTCTTTTTTTTTTTTCTCTCGGCTGAGGATGAGAGGGGCTAAGTCTCTGAGCAGCCTTTGGTCCTTCTGTTGAGTTCCACCCCCAGACCTTTGAGCCGAACTGGAAGTTCATTTTTGTCTAATCCCCAACTCCTGACCTGCTTAGCAAAATGTGTCCTCCCCCGCCCCCGGGCTTAGCCACAGGGTTATTCATAATTCTCCTTCCTGTGTATATCCCTCAAACACTGACACAACACCACCTCTGCTCTGCTGCCCTGCCTCACCCTGCCGTTACTAGTACATCTTTCTGCTCCCAGGATTGGAAGGGCAATGGTGTGACCAGGTAGTGGTGGACATTTAGGCAGGGTGGGTCTGTTCAGTGGTTTGCGGATTTTTGATTTCGGTCTTTTTTGAAAATGGCCTAGGAGAACAGCCATGAGCCGAGGCTTTCTCTCATCTTGGGAGGGAGGCGGGAGACTTATCAGGCTCAACACCTGCCCCTGCCTGTTAGGAACTGCCATCGCTTTGCTTCGGGGATTAGACCATATTTAGTATGAGAGTTGGGTGAAAATTGAGATGCGTCTGGTCATAGGGGCTGCAGAGTCTGTTTGCTTGAAAACTAACCTACCTGGCTCCTATTTAGGGCATAAATGTCTTCCTCTCTTGGGCGGCTGTGGCATTAAACAGCAGGAAATGTGTCCCTAAATGGAAACACACTTTTTTTTTTTTTGGCAGTTTTGATTTCCTGGACCTCATGGGAGCACTTTTCTGTAGGTACCTCCTCAGCTGATCCCGTGTCTCTCACCCACTATGCCGTCCACACACTGGCAGGTTGGGCCTCTTCGCTTTTGCAGGTAGTCATTGGGTCAAGAGTTGGGGCTGGGCTGGCAGACAGCTCAGTGGGTAAAGGCTGCCAATCCTGGAAACTTAGAGTTCCATCCCTGGGACCCACGTGGTGGAAGGAGTTGAAAGTTGCCCTGACCTCCACATGTGCGCCATGGCATGGGTCCTCACAAAATAAATACAATGGAAAAATACGGGGATTGTTCTTTGTACATTTTCTAGTGTTCCCTATTTAGTGATACAGTTTCTTCTTTTTCCTCTCTCTCTCTCTTTTTTTTTTTTTTTAATGATTTATCTTTTATTTTTTTCAGACAGTTATGAGCTGCCATGTGGGTGCTGGGAATTGAACCCGAGTCCTCTGGAAGAGCAGTCAGTGCTCTTAACCGCTGAGCCATCTCTTCAGCCCCTCCTCTCTCTTTTTTTAAAGGAACTCTTTTGGGTTCTTTTGTTCTGAAACTATTACTATTACTTCTGATTGCTTAGATTTTTTTATTCAAAAATAAAACGTAGGCAGTTCTCTCTTGAGGAGCCTGTACCCGCACTTGGGTGTTTACTCCCTGTGGCTCTGTTCTGCTCTCAGGTGTGGCTTACCTTCTGAGGGCCTTTTCCTCTACTCTCACGTGTAAGTCTACTCTAGATAATTACCCCAATGGTGCCGCCTCAAAGTAGAAAATGAGAAGCCTGGGTATGCTGGAACATGCCTCATGCCTTAAACCCAGCACTTGAGTGGTAGAGACAGGAAGATCAGACGTTCAAGGTAGATACATGAGAGCCTGTCTACAAAAAAATAGTGCATCCCATTATGCACCAAGGCCAGCCTAGGCTACGCGGTGAGAACTTGCTTCAGAAAAAAAAGATAAAACGTGGCTCCAAATGTGAGTCATTCTAGCTAGAAGGTTTGCTGTTGGAATGGAAGACGCTATTTGACGTTTTTTTGTTTTCCTTTGTCCTTTGTTTTTCATGCCCGCTAAACCCAGGAGTAGCCTGGGAGCCTTAACTGGCAATGAGTGCCTGAGCCCTGTTTTTGAGGCTGGCTGGCATGGGTCATAAGTGGTTGTGATTCAGGTAACTTATCCTGCAGTTGATAGAACACAGACCTCCCATTTGTGTCTCCAAGAGTGTCTGTGTTTTCTCATTGTCTAATAGATGTCTTTGTTTTCCAGCTGAAATATTGGGAAGAAAGGCTGGTTTATTGTCTACTGTTCTCTCTTCCTCTATGAACTCAGCTTTTCTGTGCCTGCTCCAGTGAGCATTGTCTTCTGGTTACACGCCAGTGTGGCTGTCTCCCTGGGTTTTGGCCATGGCTCCCTTGAGGTAAATGACCTTTTTTTGGGGGATGCTGAAATGAGAAAGGAGATTCGTGGTCCTTGTCAGTTCTTCCAAAGCTCTTATTCTTTTCATAGAGATTTGAATTTTTAGACTTTTAAATTTTAAATAATGAGACTGACGATTTAATATTGCAAATGTAACTTTTGAAGGAAGTTTGTCTTGGTGCTTAAAGTGACATTTGTGATTTGGGGTAAGATGCTGGTGGAAAGGTGTAATTTCCATAGATATTTGTTTTATGTGTAAATAGTACAGTGCTGTTGTTGATTTCCAAAGTTAGTGAAACTAGAAAAGCTGATACTTTTGAATATATGCTAGATCATGTTAATAAGATTCAGTTTTCGGAGACGTTATTTATAACATTAAAGCTAATTTATTATGATGTAAACTGTGAGGTGGTGTAATATATAGACGTTTTCCCCAAAAGTATATTTGACTTACAAGCTAAAAAGCTTTAGGCACACGGGAGAAAAAACTCAGCTGAGACACAATCAAGTTGACAGTTTTTTTTTTTTTAAAACAGAGGTAAAATGTAAATGGCTTGACCTTCAAATAAAGAAGGGCATAATTCTGTAGATCAACTATAAAATATATTCAAAGGGAGACTGGGTCTGTTTTGTTGGGCAGCTAGTGGGAAACGGTGCCGCCCCAGGTGAAACCAGAATATTCTGGAATGGAGCCAGCGGTTTCACGTCTTTGGAGCGTGGTTGTTGTGTCCAAGCTCCCTTTGGATTTGAAGGTCAGGGCTAGTGATGCGGCAGCCTGTGTCGTAAATGGTCATGTGTGTAGCCCGGTGGGGGAGGCATGTTTAGGCTGCTGTATAACTATTTTCTGAGCCATCTGAGGTCCCGTCCCTTCTTCCTTTGGTTCCTGGTGTCTAACTTGCCTTCTGGAAAAATGCTCCTTACTATGCATTTTCTTGGAATAATCATTAACTGTGTTCTTTAATAATTACTGGCATTTGTATTTTAAGCTGTGTACCAGTGTTCCTATCTGACCCCGATTTTCTAACCTTTGAGGATATTTAAGTAGAACTTTTAAATAAAAGAAGCGAAATGAATGTGGTTTCTTGTGGCTTGAGCATTAATTTTTCTAGCCCTTAGGATGCGAGGCCAGCTTTTGTTTCAGCATTTTTCTCTGACCGAGGAAGACTGTTTAAGACCCTGCTCCAAAGACAAGCATGGCACACGAAAACTTTTAGTAGCTGCTAAGCACACAGGGAGTCCTTTAAAAATTTTTATTTTTAATATTTTATTTTAACTAAGTTTGTACATTTGTCTCTGTGGGTGTATCACATGAGTGCAGATGCTCAAGGAGGCAAGAAGAAGCACTGGATCTCTTGGCGTTGGAGTGGCAGGTCGCTTTAGGTGTTAGGAACCAATCAGGTCTGCTTCAGGACCACACTTCCACTGGGCCTCTCTTCAGTGTCAGGAGGATTCATTTATGTTAGCTGTGTGAGTGGAGAACTAAGAAGATAAAAGACTTGGCCCAAGACCCATGTCCTCTGGGCCAAGACTTGCTAGAATTTCATAGTTTACTGAGAACCTTCTTGTAAAACCAGCTTTTGTGTTATTAGTAGTATAAAGTCAGTTCTGGGGAAAAGTCTAGGCTGTGTGCAACTGAAGACCCCACTGCAAGATTGTATAGTGCCTCGGTGCGCTCAAAATGATAGTGTTCATGGGTCCGTATGAAAAATGCAGGTACAGGGGCTGGAGAGATGGCTCAGCAGGTAAGAGCACATGTGTACCACTATGACTGGCAAGCACTGGGCATCTGAACCCAGGTTCAGTTCCCAGTACCCACATGGTGATTCATAATCATAACTACAGTTCAACGGGATCCTATGACCTCTTCTGACCTTGGGCACTGTACACACATGATATATATATATATGTATATATATACATATATATATCTCCAGACAAAACACTCATCTATAAAATAAATCTAAAAAAAAAACTAATAATGCAGATACAAATCTTTAGTCATTTGTATTTCAGTTAGGTCTGGCTAGTTAAACTAGGTGTTGAAAAAGATGTGTTGAAGGGCATGGAGAGAGAGCTCAGCAGTTAAGAGCACTGACTGCTCTTTCAGAGGACCCAGGTTCAAATCCCAGCACCCACATGACAGTTCATACCTGTCTGTAACTCCAGTTCCAGGGCTTCAGACATGCCTGCAGGCAAAAAACAACATGAAATAAAAATAAAAATATTTTTTTCTTTTTTGGTTTTTCGAGACAGGGTTTCTCTGTAGCTTTGGAGCCTCTCCTGGAACTCCCTTTGTAGACCAGGCTGGCCTCGAACTCACAGAGATCCGCCTGCCTCTGCCTCCCGAGTACTGGGATTAAAGGCGTGCGCCACCACCGCCCGGCAAAATAAATTATTTTTTAAAAAAAGAGAAGATGTAGAAACAAAGCTTTTAAAATATGGCTAGGTGGGTAAGGAGGGACCACAGGTCACCTGTGAGGTAGAAAGGGATTGTGCAGAGTAATCTGGGTTTGGTGTTGTGGGTCACCCAGCGACCAATAGTTCAAGATCATGCTCAGGTGCCTGTGAAGGACAAGGGCAGCCTAGGCTACGGAAGCTCTGCCTGGGGGAGATCCTTCAGAGCGACCTCAGAATGGGTAGCAGCTCCTCTGTATTAATTTGGTACAGAGCCAGAAGTCCTGCCTCATCTCTGCTTCCCTGTGATGGTGCAGGGTTGTCAGAACCAGGAGTCCTGCCCTATCTCTGCTTCCCTGTGATGGTACAAGGCTGTTAGTGTTTAATCCTTGTTAGTCGGCTTCCCACTCCACTCTCCCCTCCCCACACCCATGGCCGTTCTGCCCCAGGGATACAAAAGCTGGTTGTGAAATGAGTTAGGAAAGATGACTGGCTGGACACCAAGGAGAAGAGGAGAAGCGAGAGAGGTCAGAGAATAGGAGGAAAACAGCAAGCAGTGGCGTGGAAGTAAAACGAAGGGAGGAGTTTGGCCAGGAGACTCTAGTATTAGAGAGAACATGGATGCGGCTGGGCAGGAATGGTCAATTAGCTACAGAAAGCTCCGCTGCAGGAGAGGCAATGGCTGAACCGTACTCTCGCGTGGGTCTGGGGACATTGCATGACTCTAGATGGTGAGGTAGAGGAGGGGGTTGGCTGGGCGGGCGGGCTGGTGGGACTGTCTACCTCAACCAGCGTATCTCTGGGCTTATGAACGAAAAGAGTATCCAAAGTTCATTTGGGAGTTCTGGGATTTTGCTGTCCCCAAATGGCGCTGTAGCACAGGAAAAAATGGGAGAATTAGGTACCTCGAGCCCTGCCTGGTGGTTGGGTCATTCGTGAGGACACAGGGATAGGGCGCGTCAGTAGGGGGTGCTCTAGTTTGTGTGGGAGGCCACGGGAGACACGAGGCTGCCTCTAGATGTCGCCATCCAGCTGTGTTGGTGTCAGCAGAAGCCGGCTTGAGGAGGGCTGCCTCGAGCTAATGAGGCAATGTGTCCTAAAACTCCAAGTTTTTCCTTGGGGTGCAGCCTGATACACCTTCAGGAAGCCTCGCAGGGCTCTGGGCATCTTTGGGGCTGGGATTAAGTGGGGGCTGAGGGAACGGCACTGTCTTGTGCTTGTGGGGAAGGAGCCGTTGAGACCCAAGCTTGCCAGAGCAGGTGGAAGGTATAAAGTGGCTGCCATCTGGACCAGCTGTCTTCAAGGTACTTGTTTACCTCTGTGAAGTACACAACCCCAATCTTATTCTGCTCCTTATAGCCACTCCTACAGTGGGCCAGCTTCTCAGCTTTTAGAAAAGTCGAAATCACTTCTGTGCCCCTCGACTCAGGTGCAATTGCCACACAGCAGTCAGATCTGAACTGCTGCTTCTCAGGTCCCATGACATTTTGGGTGAGAACTCAGATTCCTCTTCCCTAGATGGGCCTCCCTCCCTGCCATAGTCATGGAGAGCGTTTTTAGGATGTATCAAGGCTTTGGATTTGCTCTTCCCCATGGCTAGAATACCTGGCACTTTCTGCCTCCTCTTGATTTACCCAGATTTCTGAGCCTGATTCTGCTAGATTCCAGCTTGTTTGGAAGACTCCCTGACTTTCTAGGTCTCTCTTCCAAGCAATCCCTCTCTATTTTTAGCACTGGCTGGTCCTATTTCATCTCTCCATGGGTCTCCCATCCCATCTGTCTGTCTGTTTTCTCTGCAGCGTTAGGATTCTGGTTTGGCTTTCTGCTGGATAACCATGCATTAGCTCAGCATCTGACGTGAAGCATACAGTCAACATTTAAAATGTGGAGGAGGCTGGGGATGTAGCTCAGTGGTAGAGCACTTGCCTAACAGTCATGAGGCCCTGGGTCCAATCCCTGGCACCACAAAAACAGATGAATAGATAGATAATTAGTTAGCTAGCTAGATGATAGACAGGCAAAATTTTTAGAAATAAAAGAATGAAAAAAAAGGGAAGATTTTGTTTTTTTTTCCACAGGATAAAGTTGTATTTTCCCAAGAGTTAGGCCATACTTCTGACTGTAGGACGAAGACTAGAATCTTCTACATTTTGCTGCTTCTTTGTTTCCCCTTCTTCTGGTTTTTCAAGGCAGGGTTTCTCTGTAGCTTTTGGAGCCTGTCCTTGAACTTGCTCTGTAACCCAGGCTGACCTCGAACTCACAGAGATCTGCCTGCCCCCTGCTGGGATTTTAAATCTGCACCACCACTTCCCGGCTACATTTTGCATCTTATTGTGAATTGGATAATACCTCAAATTCTTTCCCACTCTACCCACCAACCAATTAGAAAAAGATCTAATTGCCTCCCCACCTTTTGTTTTATAGGTTTTGCCATATAGCTCAGGCTGTGTTTAAACTCTCTATCGTCCGTCTTTAGGCCTCCCAGGTGCTGTGATTAGAGGCAAGCATGAACATTCTCTTGGCTCTGAAGTGACCTTAGGGACTTATTTACAATCAAGAGACCATAACAAAGGACATACTGGAGACTGGGAAGGCAAAGTGGCAATCTCTGCAGCTGATGATCACACATTATTCTGCTGCTTTGCTCACTCTCGTTGTGGCTGTGTTGAAAATTGAATTTTGTCTTTGTCGTTTTCTTTCCTCTTTTTGTATTGTGGTGCTAAGGATTTTAACTCTACTGCTGAGCTACCTTCATCAGCCCTTTTATTTTGATGTTTTCTTTGTTGTTTTGAAACAGAATCTCAGGAAGCCCAGGCTTGCTGTTGAGCTTTCTGTGTAGCCTAAGCTGACCTTGAACTTCTGATCCTCCCTTCCCTTCTCAGTTCCAGAGGCTGAGATTAGTGCACTACACGTGTGTGTGTGTGTGTGTGTGTGTGTGTGTGTGTGTGTGTGTGTGAATTATTTTTATTAACAACAAAAAAGGCTTCAGTGACTCCCGCCGCTCTCTCCTGTAAAAACGGTCTGGGTCCTTTGCTGATGTGTGGGGCTAAGCATAAGCTGATAGCTGATCCCACCCATCCACCCTTCTGCTCCTTCTGCTGCTTCTGGCACTCTGATCCATTTTCAGCCAGGGAGACTG